ATCTTCTGAGGTCCCTTCCAGTCTTACAATCTATGAATCTATAAGACTAATGTCGTTTTAGTTTTCTGGGTGGATAGTTTCAAAGTGTTCTAGAACTGGCAAGAAACTTCCTATAGATTTTATGTTTACTGTAAACTAACTGTATATACTGAAAAATTAACTATAACTTGGTGGAGCAACCTAAAGATTTGATAGCAAGGATAGAAAGCTATATTTTTCCTGAGTGAAGGCTGAGATACTTGAATGTTTTAATAAATCCAAAGGTTTGGCCAATTATTTTTGATAGAGCTTGAATTTTACGTATTGCAAATGTTAGGGTATGTTTGTAACAGATCTATAAAAAGCAACAATTTTCGAGTCTCTTCAAAACACTGCAGTTTCATACTTTGCTTATTGCTTAATGTAAGATTTAGAATTTTCATAATTATAAATTTTCTTGGTCAAGGAGACAATGTCTTCCTTAAATCTTCTGAAATTCAAAATTATTATTTGGATGCTGCAGGCCTCCAAAACACAAAACCAAGACACAGATTTAGCATTAAATTCAAAGGACCAATCTACCAAACTCCTGGCTGGTCATGGTGGTCCCTTATTTTATTTCTGTGACAGGGCTCCCGCTCTGAACACATACAGTATGAAGCCAGAAGCACATTAATACATTTTATCACCATGGAAGTGTGAGCAGCTATGATTATTGACAGGCTGATGTGAGAATTTATTCTATTCCACATTTGGCTAAACAAAGACACAACAACAGGGTTTCTTCATATGAGAATTTGCAGTGGGAAGAAGGGAATCTGGGATTCAAAATTAGGAACTGGGGGGAGAAATAGGGAACAGAGAGGTAAGGAAGCCTGCCTTCTATCCAGCAAAGTTATCCTTTAATTGAAGAAAAATGAGGAGAGCTTTATTTATATTGGTTGGGAACTTGTATTCTTGTAGAATTTTGTACATAATATATACCAGATGAACAGGTATGGTCAGTTCAATGAACCATTTAAGGACTGCTTCTTGGCCAGGTTCTAGGTATAATCAGAATAAGTGGGAGGAATGATTACACCAAATAGTTTACTACAAATTTTACAAAAACTTAGCATAGCCAAGACTATAAACCTCTAAGAACATAGTATTTTCATTTTTTTAATCTATGCAAAAAAAAAAAGGAAACAAAAATGAATAAATTCCTACATGTACAAACAAGTTTACATGTTATTTCTGACACTGAGACTATCTGCAGTCTATGGACCTTGTTACACAGGGGTGAGCAGAATGC